GAAATAGTGCCGTCATAATTTCCTGGTTTTGGTTCTCAACCGAAGTTTTTTTTACACTCTTGCATACTAAGGCTTAATGCTGGCTTCCCTTTTAAATCAGATGTGTTTCTCTCTATTATATCTATTTAAAAAGGGTGTCTTAAATGATAAATACCTGAATTCATAACGCTTTGAAGAAACTCGCATCCTTTTTCACACGGGTCAGTCTGAAACAGGAGCAGGTTTCAAAAACCGCGGTATTATTAAATGCTTCCCGACTCAACGTAAGTAAGAGAAGTCTGTACACGAGCCAAGTGACCTCTTCAACCGGAATAGATCTAAAGCATGAAGCTACTGGTATTACTACTCAGATTTTGGGACCGTTTACTATCGTGACTTTTAAGAAACAAGTCCGTGCAGCTTTGTCACTGCATCAATGAACGTACTTAACGTTTCACGTAAGGAATCCTCATATCAACTTCTATATCAACTGGTTATTGAATTACTTACTTGGTTGCATTTAGCTTTACAATCTTTCACAGTTACTGCATTAAACTTGGAAAACTTGAATGGCTTCTTGCACTATAACGAGAGGGGAGTGGTGTCAGTGGTGACTACGGAACTTCAAATTCAGCCAAAACAGCGCTTTAATTAACAATGGAGCGCTTTTAGATTGAGTAACGTAAAACCGAAACCAAAGTAATCACAATGGCCAATGGCCACAAAATACTTGTAAGAGCCGATGAAAACTCAAAACGGCCTATTGCGCTGGAAAACGCTGGCGACCAACTCTTGCTTGGGTTTAGTTTTACATCTGATTGGTGGAGAGAGTGGCACGAGTTTCTGGACCAATTACGGAGCGAAGAAAAGCGAAACTAGTGCAATCTCAGATCAGTTTCGATACTCAATTGGCAATGTTTCTCTTACGATTCAATGATAAGTTATTGTCGTCTAGAAAAAGATAATAAGCAATATGGTTCACAAGAGAGATAGAGAGAGAGAAAGAGAAAGTGAGAACTCGGAAAACATCCTGTATAAGTACATTGACTAAAAATATGAACTTCAAAGTGCGGAAAAACCGAAGAGACTAAATTGTAAAGAACTACCTGTTTATATATCTGATTAGCCGGACAAAGTGGTGTAACATTTTTTAGACAAATCACAAAATAACGCTCAATTGACAATTGCTGCACAATGATTGTAATTGGTTTATACATTGCCTTACATCGACATTATTTAAACTTCTATCTGTTCCTGATTGAAATTTTTGTTTTGGCCGGAACCATCAGAGCAAAATCAGTGGTCTTGGAAAGGAGACAAACAAACCAGTTTTGATCTGTACATGACTTCGACTTGAGCTTGTTGTTTCGGCAAATGGTTTATTTATTGAACTCTTTAACTCCCATGAGTGACCAAGACAGAATTTCTCCTTACAATATCAATACAATATCAACCAGATAAGTGATAAGAATAAAGAAAAATATCCAATTGGGGATAATTAGTTAATCCAATAATAAATTCTCCGAACTAACTTTGTAAGCATTGTATGGTTGACAGTAAGGAGAATTACAAATTTGATCTGGGAGTTAAAGGGTTATCCTTAGTGACTTACCTCTTTACACTGGTGCCCACAGCTGAAGGGACGAAGACTTCCTTTTATACCAGTAACCTGTAAAATTACCGACAAAGTATAAAAATCTAGAACCAAAAAAATTACAAAGAGATTAAGTTTCTAATGAAACTGTGGTGCTGCGTCAGTGGAGGAGTATCACAAGATAATTTTGGTTTTATCAACTGAGTTGATAATGTAAATTGGGTACCGTAGTGAGTTGCAAAGCTGACGATTCGAGCGTTTGCCCTTCGTCGATCGCTCCGACGAAGGGCTGTATGTAACGAGCGATAGACCACTGAACTTCTGCACTCGAAAACTGCACTGTCTGAAAAGAAAACTAATGGCAAATTGAATTCACAAAATGGCGAAAAAAACTGAGCCGATAAATTTTAACGCTGTCTTTCAAGATGTCTCCAACTGCTTATTGTTTGTTTGTTTATGATTGTAATTCATCAATAGAATTAAAAAAGAAATTGATATGATACTATATAATATATTGAAAATTTAACATGTGGCTAGGAAACCAATAGGGAAACCAAGAGGCTTATATTTTACAAAAGTAGGGTATCAGTTATGTAGCGTGATTTTGTTATCGTTAAATTAATATCCAAATTATTTTCATGGTTTAAGTGGGTCCTATGCGCCTATCAGATACACAGCTATTATTGAAGGGACATCACTGATTAATCCGATTACAGCGATTAATTATTGCCACTTTTCAACTAGAGAGTTTAAATTGGACACCCAAGTCATTAGCATGCTTTGCAAAGAGTTTCATTTTAATTTCTTCCTACTGCATGGGAACAAAGTGGAGATATTTCTGAGCTATTAACAAAAGGAACGTATACGCCTCTGGGCTACAATTCTTTTGTTAGCGATGCGATATGTTGGTAATTTCCGGTTTCTGTTCTCTGTTTACATTTGCTATTCCGAGAGGCTGATTGCCAAAACTCTTTGGTCATGCAACCCTGGAAAACTGGAGAAGCACATCCATCAATTACAAAAGTAAAAAAAAAAATGTAAGCATGCAATGGTAGTTTTCAGTGGATTTCTTCATCTAATTTCCTCTCCTGCATAGAGAGATTTCAAATACTTCCGTTAAATTTTAGCATTAGTCCTCATCAATCCGACTTTTGCTAAATTTTCTCAAAAAATTTGCCATTCCCAATTGCTTTTTTATTCAAGATTGTTCATAATTTCTCTAAAGTTATCTTATATGTATTTTCCGGCCTGAGAAAGTCTTTTTTTGACACATATAAAAAGCTCGATAGTTTTTCATGTACCGAAGAGCTCAAAAAACCTACCGTGATCTCAATATACCAAAGCGACATTACTTCGATATCACAATAGGTAGTGAGGAAAATAACAACATTAAAGAACGAGATGTTGGATATGGAGGCTGCAAGAAAAATAGAGCTACATGCAACATAAATCAGTTGATCCTTTCGTGCAAGGAAAATTAGAAAAAGTACTTAGATGCTCACAATTCAGTAGTCAAAAAGGTCATTCGATACCTCAATAACTGAAAATCTTAGGCCTAACTGCTAGTAACTTTCACATATCACTTTTGGAATCATATCCGATTTCAAGGTGATCATACATTTAGTGGATACTTGACTGCCCTCTTCTTTTCCGCTACATCTGTTTCTTTTCTTTACGTGAAGGATTCAGCTGCTGACAGCGATTTTTAAAAATAGAACACATAAGTAGTAACACAGGCCTAAGGAGCTAAGACTGAGTTCAAACTTTCTTTTGGAATTAACTTTCAGTTCGACATTATCTCATCATAACCGTACCCTTACCCAAAATCATACTCCAAATTAATAATGTCCGTATCAGCTACGTAAGTTTTTGAAGTTCCTACCCTTTATTAGAGTTTTAACCGGTTTTCTATAGGATTTCCCAGTACTGGAAACCAATGCTTCCTGACGGGCAAATGAGATTCGGTCGGCTCAATTTGTCGTTATAAACCTCAGTACAATCAAATATGCAACACAACATCCTAATAGTCCAAGCTGACCCCCTTCAGAACGGTAGCTTGGCCTACATTTAACGAAAACCGTTCTATTTATCCGTTGAAGTGAAGAGACACATAAATATCTAATAAAAAGATGAACTTAAAGTTTTGTATCAAGCTAATGTTCACTTGCATGCAAAGAAGATACAGTAATCCTTTCCCTTCATGTGTTCCAGGACAGGTGAAACTGAAAAAGCAGAGCGAATGTTCTTTCAGTTTTTGAGAGTCGTCCTTCACAACAGGTAATCACAAATATCGATGTCTTCAAACTGTAATCTAAGTCCGAATATAGTAAAAGTTTTATTTTTTATCATAATTTTTCCAGCCTACATATAGCCGCTAAGTATGAGGTGTTATTGGAAAGCATGCACGGAACACGTCAAAAACACATCCCTCTTGCAATTATTTCTGTCGCTCTCAAGCAAATGCTTAATCTAAAATACCCTATAAACCCGACGTAATTCTTGAAATGCTTCTGGCTAAAGCTTTAGACGTTGGTTGAAGTCAAAAGATATTGAAGTTGAGAAAGAAAATCTGGCAACAACATTGATTGCCGCCAGAGAAAAGCGTGTGGTAGATTCTCACTGATCATATGACCTGTCTTAGTTTAGGAATTTTATAGATCTGGCACAAAAAGTCTAACTGAACCGAGAGATTTTTTGGGAAAGATTCCTTTTAATGTTTACAACAATAATAAGAGAGTCTCAAGGCGGTCTTTCTTTATTTACCCGAATGAAACTGAATTCATCTCGGCTTTCTTCCTTAGAAATTGCTTCGCACGCATTACCGATAACTTTATATGCAACCTCCTTACTCCTAATGTCGTTTAAGGAGAGTGCCTTATCTATCTGAGAGTGAAATAGGCGAAACACAAACTGTATCTAGATGTTAGTGGCACATTTAGCATTTTTGTGATGCGGCTCCCTCAGAGCGAGCTGATCAAAAGAACCATGCGACTTTCTATGACTTGAGGCTAGAAAAATATTTTCAAACCAGCCAAATACAAGGTTTAAGAAAACAAAATTTCACATTAAAGCGTAATATGTTTTTCTGACGATAACAAAACACTCTCATTACCAAAGAATGTTCAGAAATTTTGAACACTACTAAAAAAATCCGACTAAATAGAAACAGACTTTCTGGAGTGGAAATTTCATAGAGACGAAATGTTTCGAAGCGGAAAACGTAAGGCAAAAGGAAGTTTTCGCAGACAAATTTAAAAATTATCTTAATTTGGAAAACATGAGGGTCTTTATGATTGCTGGTACATTGTTGCAAATTTCTGTGTCAATGCTTATTTCCTGTTTTCTTGTAATTTTCATATTCATCTCCCTTAATTACAGGCCTATATCGCCATAATTTACAGCACTGTCAAATTATTTTTCACAGGTTTGGGTTGAAAGAAAATTACGAGAGAAAGTCCTAGTTTCCGAGGTGCAACGTTTTCCTAGGTAATTTTCTATAAGGCTAGTATTTATTTCGAGGCAAGCTTTGGTGAAAAGTGAGTTCATAACAGCAAGGTTCGGAAAAAAGAATTCGCGAACAAGTAACTGCAAAGCTTACAATCAGCATTATGGCGTTTAAAACAGTTCCCAGCTCGTGAAATAATTGTTGATTTTAGCGTACTGACGGAAAGTATTCCTAGTGTAAAGATAGTTTAAATTTTCTGAGCAAGAAAGAGAAAATACAGCAATTGCAAGTAAAAGAAAAAAAAAAAACTCGTTCACCATTGCGATTATAAATTCATACATCTTGCTTACTTCATGCAGAGACAAAGGAGGAAAATCCTGCTCACAAAGCGACATATTTAAAAGAGCAGCAACCGAAAGGGTCCAGACTGCGGCATGTCTTAGGCGTGTTATGATTCAACAATAAAATGGTGCAATGATAACACAAGAGATTAAGTCGACTATTCATGATCAAATATTCGGTAGAATGATATCTTCGCTCGCTGTGGTCGTTTATTCAGTGATGTTTCTGTTCTGCTCTCTGTGTCAGTTGAAATTTAGTCTAAAATAGGTTTAAATAAAACAACAAAAATTCATGCTACTCACATTCATCAGTAACGGGTGACCGTACTTTTGAGAAAGACACATGTAAAGATAAAATTCAAATCATAAATTGTAAAAATCTCGCGTTCAAGAAACTGTTGATGATTAGGGAACGATTAAATAAACTAGAGTATTGTACATAGTTATGAGAAATATTATCAAAACTCGATTTAGGAAATAAATGATCACAGTCTCTACATACCATTTTCTCGCATTTCATGTTGAAATGTCCTTCCTGGACTGTTTTGTTGAACTTTTCGTCTTCATATGGGCAACAAAATAAATGACAATTTACGAAAACGAACATGAAAAAAACCTTAAACATTGTTTCATCCACAAGAAAAGGCTAAAATATCGCTTTCCAGACGATATAGATCAAAAAAATTCTACGATCGGCGATTTTGAAATCGAGTTTGCGTCAAATTGATACAAGCCCAAAATATACGTTTTTCGCGGATCAACTGGACCGGGAGCCGCTTATTTTCACCGTGGGAATGGTAAAATTCCTTCTCGTAATTAGATGGCCATCTTTAAATTGTAGATTTGATATTTCTTTCTTTCTGTGTTTTACCTCCGCTGTTTTATACCGAAGATGTCAAGATTTCACAAACACATCATTCATCCTCGGCAAAAGAACCGGGTCCCAGAGATAAAGAGTCTTTTGACGGCGCATTGGATTGACGTCACGCTTTGAGTATTCGTATTTGCTGCAAGTGACATTCGATGAGATTCCTCTCCGGTGCCTAAATGCATTTATCATAAAGGGCGAGAGTGAAAGCTAATTGAAAAACTCTTCGATTTAATTAAGCAAAGAGCGACTGGAAGAAATGGCCAGGAAATGTAGAGGCGTTTATTTATTTGGCTCCGATCCGTTCGCAAATCAGTTGGACACAGAAAAAATATTCAACTGAAATTTACGTTTTTAGTTGTAGGAAAAATTCGGTGATAATAAAATTCAGATCAGTTATAGCGTTGAAAGTGCGCTGTGATGTCAAACTCCGTTCCTTTTTGTTACATTTGCAATGTTATCATTTAAAGTGTAGCAATTAGTGTAACTGAAGTCAATTAAGCGTCGCATCAACTTTAGTCTTTCTGTTTTATTCTTTTAGTGAAAAACAGAGGTAAACATTGCCAATTTGTCGATTTTATTGCAAATAAATGACTTTGGCTGAATCAGAAGAAAAAGGAGGAGTTTCCTAAACTAGATTTGACAAGGATAGATTCGAATCAGGAGAAAAAACTAATGAAAGTTTATTTCTTCTACTAAAACGTCTATCGTCCGTGAAATTTGAAATTTTGCCTCAATAATGATAAAATTATATTCAAACCATTTGTTTGGAAGGAAGGAAAAAAGAAATCAGTCTATTAAAGATCTTAAGCATTCTCGTGGTTCCGCGTCAACTGTAGGAGAACTTCAAAGATATCATATTAACATGTTATACGGGATTAGTTTCCCATCACATTCTGATCTTAATAACATTCATTTTTGAGGCATAATTATTCTGTTAATGTTTAGGGTTAGTTAGTTAGAAACAAGACCCCATGCAGGCAACATATAAACCTACGTCGTGCGCAAACATTGCAACTGTTGTGGCTGTAATCTTGGATTAGGAAAATATGAATGATAAAAAAAAAAAATTTTTTTAAATTTGTGTACGTGTTTTAGTAAATGGAAGGGGAATCGTGATTTCAGATGAGTTTTATGCTAATCATATCCCTTTTAGTTTTTTTAAGTCTAGGTTTTTTGAAGTATCATTTTAAAAAATAATATACCGAACTCTCATTGTGATTGCAAAAGCGCGTGTCTTTTCGAATCATATATCTGAAACTTCTTGCAAAAAAATCAAGTATTCGTGACCGATCACAGGGATTTTCGTTATTCGGTACATTCACTACAATCGCCGCAATCCAACTAATGGCTATATATAAACCACAAACGTGACTTCAACTTTTCAGATGAAATAAAACACACAGAGGTCTTGGAATCAATCTAAAAGGAATAATTACAGGATTGATTCGAATCTTTTATCCAGGTAACGATTGTTAAAACCAAATATTTTATGTTGGTGGGCAGGAATATGATATGTTTTGGGCCTGACTCAGAGTCTCTTTTAGCTCGACCAGCTAGCCAAGGGTTAAAATAAGCTCTGCATGAGGACAGCCCAAAATATATCTATGTCTAAGGTCATAAACTGTACAATTATCATTACTAGGATCGTAAGATCATAAGATCATAAGATCATAAACTGTACAATTATTGTTACTAAGATTATAGCATCATCAACTGTACTACTATAATTACCACTTTGGAGGGCATGGAAAAAAAAAACTGAAAAACTAACAACAAAACAGTCTGAACAATCACGCGAGCTTGCGAGTGGGCTAAATATATTTTAGCTCATCAAAATCTCCATTTTAGCCCGCAAAATGAGCCATAATGCTCGACAAAGTGAAAAAAATTCTCGTCAAACCGATTGGTGACCAAGAAAATATATTTAACCCTCTTTGCGATGCTAAAATATTTCATTGCGTGATGCAAGGCAAGTGATGCCCAGAGGGTCATATCAAGCCTAATTGTGTCACCCGTTTGAAGCGGAAATTAACCTGAACATGCCCCTTGGGTTCTTTGGCCACTTATTCCATGTATGACGCGTACATTTCAAAGGCTAATAATTAATGTTTTACAAAGATATTCTGATGAACGGGAAATTTGAATTGTTTCAAGTTTTTCTTCTTGATCAGTTGTTTTCCATACAGATTAGAACGGTGTGCTTCCTACTGATGCCTGATTGTTGCAGTCTCTGTCTATGAAAGGAAAAGAATATCTAATCAAGTAAATTTTGGAGAATTTCGCCGGTTACTAGAAAATTCTCTCTGAATTATTTCGTATTCATTTTTGTTTACAGGAGTCCAGGCCAACATAATGAAAAAATAAATAACTGATTCAAAATCATTGGATCATCTCATTTGAGTCTTTCGAAAGTGAAATCGTTTTATGTCGAATTTTTTTACGGATGAACTCTTAACGGCGCTGGATTAGAAATTTATCTAAGAAACTCCATGCCATCGTCACAATTGAAATTTCATTTTCGGTTTTTTTCTGAATTACTTTTTTTGGCTGATTTCATGCAGTTGGGACTTATTTATTGTTTCCTTTTTCAAGTTCATTTTCGCGTTGGTTAAATTGCAGTTTTCGTGAAAACTTAGATTTGTTTGAAAACAAGTGAAGATTAAATATAGAAACACAGAAAAAAATATAATAATAAAAAAAGAAACTTCCAACTAGGAATTTAAGAAGATTACGAAACTTGTCAAGATGTTAATAAGATTGTGATTGATTTGTTCAGATTACTCTTTGGATGACCATAAAGAGTTTTATTCAATAGCTGGAAGCACTCACTGAGCCCATCTTGCCCGCCCGGTGCGTGCGAGGGACCGGACTCATAAAGTTCGCAACTTTTGGACAATGTCGGCGATAAAGTCGCAACAGGCGGCAGAAGACAGTCAAAACAGAGAAAGCATAAAAGACTTTCGTGGGATTATTGTGCTACAAACACAGCTGGCCTTCTTTCCCGGCTTTAGAAACAACAAGTTATTCTTGATTCTTGCTATGCAATGAAATCCTTTACTGACCATGCTTGTTCGATGAGGCTGGCCGGATATTAGCCTCGTTTCTCTTTTGCGTTTTTATGGAACCCGACTTCGTGTCGGTCCATAACAACGCAAAAAGAGAACTAGGCGATTTCTAGCCATCTTGACCTCACGCTTGGTCAATAACCCAAAGTAACCGTGTTAATAATTTGAAAAAATATATATAAATAGTTAAAAGATGAAATTATAAATAAAAAGGAAAGTTGTTGATTAGTTTAATATTCTAAATAAACGCTCAAACTTGTGAATACGATTGTTTTCTGTTGGAAATATCAGGCAAAGGAGCATATATTCAGGGGAAAAACATTCCAGGTAGTGTCTTTGCACTGTATGCATGCACTGCGAACCTATAAATTGGATGAGGAACCGCTTTGAAATTTAAAGGAGTGGCTACAAAGCGGTAAAGTAAAAGGAGTGGCTACAAAGCGGTAAAGTTGGCACGTTTGCAGAGAATTTAATTTGTTGTTGATATCTGGCGGAGAATCGCTTGGGTGTTTAGTAATTCAAGATGTTTCTTTACATTTTAAGCTGGATTTCCATGATCTTCCACGTTCTCTTCTTGACTCTTGCATTAGGTACTTCAAAACCGATTCTGGCGTTTCCTAGATAGAATCTTTGGCACTGGTTTGAGCTTGTACATTTCGTTGGGTGCTCACACGCTTGTCTTTTTTTTTTTACAATCTTGCCACAGCTGCTGCTCTTTTTTACCTGGCGGAACTTGTGGAGGAATACACAGTACTAACAGCTAAAGTTATTAAGGGTATGGTCGCGGTAAGTCGTAAAATGTAGACAGCTGAGGTGCATACAGTTTCCGTGCAATAATTAAGAGATATTGAAATGAATGATATCAGGTGGAAATTACAAGAGTTGCACAAGTAATTGAGCTCAAAATTACTTTTTATGGAGTGTGAATTTGGTCCGATTGTAAAATGCAATATTAGCCTAGCAGTTGTTCTTCATTTACGTCGTGAAATAACGTGGGAATTTAGAAAGACAGGGGGAGTTTAGATGTTGTAGTTTGGACAGTCTGCAGATTATTTTGCGTTTTCCATAGGCTTTTGGGAAATTCTCCTTATTTTCCAGTTTCGTTGTGACAATAGAATGATTCACTTGCTGAATCTTAATGAAAGAACTACATGTGTAGTTCATTTTTCAGTGTATAGGTGTTGACAAAAACCTTTCCTCTCCACCTGAGATCTTAATACTCTCCTTAGAGTTTACCACACATTTCTAATAACTGCAGCTCTGGGAATTTCGTGTTTGATAAATCAAGCAATACACCTTAGTTGATGTTCTTCTCTACACAACATGGCTCTTTGATTTACAGAGGAGTGTTAATTCCAAGAGAAATTATTATTAACACCTGGGATTGAAAGTTATAAAAGATTTATCAGTTAGCTGTTACTGACATGTCAACCTTCAATAATAAATCCCTCTGTGATGAAGCTTTAGTAAAATATCATGATGTGACACATTGCAGGGCAATAAGATGCCTTGTCAGTCTGAGACATTTCTTGAAAGAAATGTATTGATTTCTTAAGACTTGTCTCTCCTCTTCTTTGCACTTAGGTATGCATGTAGGTGAAACTCTTAGTCTTTTGATAAAACATAATTATCTCTATTTGATATCTCTTATTATTGAAAAAAAGGTTTGTTGTTGCTGCAAATTTCCACACTGCTGCAATGGGTGGAATTTCACACAAGACACCTCTGTATTGGTGAAATATGTCTGTGCGTTTGTCAGTTTGTCATTCTGTGTTCAATCTCTGAATCAGAGAAGCATTTTTTACCTGATACAGCTAGGCTGAAAGCTTTTGTAGGCATCAAAGACAGAAATTATATTTAACAAGAATTAATGGTTTATTGTTGCTGCAAATTTCCACGTTGCTGCAATGGGTGGAATTTTACGTAAGACACCTCCATGTTAGTGAAATATGTCTGTGTGTTTGTCATTCTGTGTGCAATCTCTGAATCAGAGAAGCATTTTTACCTGACACAGCTAGGCTGAAAGCTTTCTTAGGCGTCAAAGATAAAAATTATATTTATCAAAATTAACAATTTGCTTCCTTGTCTTTGTTTTTTACAGGGGACAACTCTGGTTTACCTAGGACTTCTTGTGCTAGAAAGTTTTCCTCTCTTAATAATAATTGCAGGACTCTTTACCAATGGACTTTATTTCCTGCTTCTTAAAGATTTTCCATTTATTCAGCTGACATCTCCAGTGTTTTTAGGGGGAGTGGGTAAGTTATGCTATAGAAAGATTCAAAATTTGTTCCAATCATTTATCACTGCCAAAACCTGTGCTTAGTTTAAGTGGCCAACTCTGGAGATAGTAGATCACATGCCCCAAGCTGTGTTCTCTTTGCACTTCCCTTTTGCTACTGAATTTTGAAATTGAAACATTTCTAGGTCATTGTGTCTCAGGTTAATGTAGATTATGAGATGAATAAATTGTTATTGAAATGAATTTTTCATCTAAATAGTGAAAATTACTTTTAATTGTTTTTCAGTGATGGTTTTTGTCAATCACTACTTGGCATTTGACCACTTCTCCTCTGTATGGTATCCATTTTCCGAGGTAATGTGCTTGTTTGTACTATCTATCAGAAAAATTTAGGGATGCTGAGTTTAAACATAAGAGAAAGATTTCTTTTGAACATCTACGGTTACTGTAGCAAATTAAAGAAATTGATGAGATGTACTTTTCTTTTTAAAGTTGTTTTTTTGTGTAGCACCTTACTGCTGAACTTAAGTTAAAACTCAGGTTTTGAGAAACTGTGCATTGTTCCTGCCAAGGACATGGTGAAATGAACACTATAAATTTTTTGGCTAACAGAATGGGTGAAATGGGTCTATTTTGTCTGCTTGGGATTACATACTTTGCCCCTACAGCACTTTAAAATTGCTTGTAACCAACAAACATCGTTTGTAACTCTGAGAAGCATTTTTTTTTTCCCTGTAGTAATTGTTCTCACAGTTTCAACAGCATTAGCATCACAAAACATAAACTCAGCTCATGTTGGACACAAAAAAACCCCATCTGTCATGAATATTAGGTTATCCTGAAGACAGTCAAAATGAAGAAAAGCAGAAAGAATTTCTTGACTTTGTGTCACAATTTTTGGTGTAATCTTTAAACCATTTAATAAATCCTTTATTGACCAAGCTTGTTCACTCCGTTTTATCATGTATTGGCCATTTCTTGCATTTTAATGGACATGGTCTTCACAAGAAAAGAACATGCCCATTATCTAGTCCTGTTGACCTCATGCATGGTCATGAACAAATATTTAGTATGTGACTTTGTTTTTTGCAGATTCTAGCTTACTTCACAATCTGTTTATGGATTCTACCATTTGCATTCTTTGTTTCCTTATCTGCAAGTGAAAATGTATTACCAACAGCGTCCACAGTTCCAGAGGATACAACAGGTACTACTGGGGATGTAGCAGTTTGTTCATTACATGTACATCAGGGTTTTTATTAACCATCAGAGATAAAAAAATTTTGCAACTACATACATTTACCTGTACCTGGCAGAATTCTGGGATAAAATTTGGATGGCCTTGGCTGCTTATTGTTTACTTTGGGAAATATTTTCATTGTTACTTAAAACTCTTCTCCTTTTAGTACTTTCCTTAATGGACACCTTAGAAAACTTTTTTATGCATGATAAACATTTTATTTTTACCCATTGGGTCCAAACAGTACATAGGCTGCTAAAAGGCTGCAAAAATTAAAAAGAAAAAAAAAAAAGGAAAATACCTATGCAGCATTTCAGGCGAAGTTTGCAAGTATTGGCATTAAGTTCAGTTTCATTCATTTGGTAAATGTTCTGTTATTCAGTGGTGTCTTTTTTGAACAAATTTGCAATTTAACTTTGAAAGTTGTGAGGTTGTTTGCAGTTGTTTGCAATGTATTTATTTAGTAGTCTTAATGTCTGAAAACATACATGTAAGCATAACATTAAAGTACATATTGGATCTCTCTACATCTTGAAAACAATTTTTTGCTGTTATTTACAATGATAATTATAATGTGAAGTTGACAAGTTTAACCTTTTTTCTTTTTTCTCTTTTCATACCTTTGTCTACCCAGAACCAAGCTATTCTTATGCTGGCCAGAGATCAAGTCGCAGACATGGAATCCTTGCATTTTTTAATTTTTTGTCGAAGAAAACGGAGGGTTATCTACCAACAAGGACAAAAACATATTAAGAGCTGAGAGAAGATTATGGTGGACATATGTGAGAAAAATGATGTATTATTACAGTGTATATTGAAGTCTTTTAGGTCCCTGTTATTAAACTACTTTTCTATGGTACTTTTACCAAATGTGTTTTCAAATCATGGTATTTTGTTCCCTGATTAATCTATATAATGTTGTTGAAATGTTGCCTGTAGATAGAGAGGAAACAGTTGGTAAACAGTATAATTGTGTTTAATTTATAGCATTCATTGGTTTTGGCATGTTTTGGACCAGCTAGAATGAAGATTCCTTGGGTTTCTGATATTTCTCAAATGCAAGTCAAAGAGAAAGGGAAAATCAGAAATCGAACTGATTTGAAATGATTTTAATTCAAATAAACTATGAAACACTTTTCTGGAGGGATCTGATTGTGCATGAAACATTTCTAAAGGGTGTAAGAGTATCAGAAATTTTGTTTTCTGCTTGCAAATTTAACATCTCCAATTTGTATATTGTTATTTACCTGTAGCTATTAGATTTGCAGAACATCAATTTTTCCTTTTAAAACTATGTGAGGCTTTCAGCAGCTAAATATGAGTGGCAGTTTTCTAATTAACTGGTGATGCCTTTTCATCAACTTTTCCTCAATTATTAGACTGACTTAATTATTTTGACACAACTAAATCATTGTGTTAATCTTTTGATAACTATTTATGGACTTCTTGTCTGAGCCTGCAGCTTATGTTTGCACAAATGTGGAATATTATTTCAACTGAATGAAGTCTACTCTGGCATATCCCTTTAATTCCCAATATCTGATTGTTAATTCTCCCCTCTAGCCTCTGCCCATTTCTTTGTAAATTAGTTATGAGAACTTGGTGCTAAATCAAGATAGCAGCCTCTACTGAGTATTCTTATTAGCTGTTTGCTGAAAAATATATGGATGTTATAGGGAGAAGTTTCATGTTGATCACTTCTGGGAGTTAAAGGGTTAACCCCAAAAAGTGATTATTGACATGTAACTTCTCCTAATATTAACCATACGTTATCCAGCAAACAGGTAATGAGAATACTCAAACAAATCAGGTAGAAGTTGTTGTTTTGATCTTATAATAAATTCTTGGAAATGTGTAACAGCTAGAGGGGAGAATTTGAAGGATTCAACATCAAATGAAGTTTCTGTTGTCAGTGTATTCCTTTTTTATCCTTTTATTGTGTTTGAGTAGTTGCAGATATTGTGTTTGTCTGAAGTGTATATCTCCGTCAAAGGCTATTGTAGAACTATTTGACTAGACAGAAGAAGTTTTAAAGTGCAGATCAAGAATAAATTCACAATTATTCACAGAAGTGGAGTTGAATAGCTTGGTGGATATTTGCTGAGCTGCAAGTGGCAAGGTAGATATATTGATGTTCTACCTTCACCAACACTGGGTGAATAATTGTGTTAGTACATGTATATACCACACAGAACCCAAAAATATTAGATTATTTCCAACAATATACCAAAAAATGGTAGGAAATTAAATTGTTGACTCGTGATTTTGTCTCTTCGGCTGCCCAGAGGTGAATGGCACTCACTAATCATTTCTGAAACAAACCAGCCAATTACTGGACACAAACAGAGCAATTAATCTGTGTGGTATAAATTATTTATTTAATAACATATATTCACTTAAGTGGAGGTGAAACACTTTTTGAGCTGAATATTTTGTTATTAGTAAAGACCACACAGAAACCAAAGAATTTGTTCATTTCTGTTAAAATACTGAGAAATTAGCACAAAATTGAACTCTCGATGAGCAATTTATCTCTTTGATGGCTTGTAGGTGTGTGTTACTTGCCAATGACTTCTGAAGTATCCCATCAGTGTGTCCAAGAAGGACGTTTTACCTGTTTGGTATATACTGCCAATACTAAGCATTTATTTTAATTATCATTTAAGGAAAATTAAGGATCATAATAACTATCTAATTTGATTAATTTTAACCTTTTCAAGCAGGAATAACTAAAAAAGACAATTTCACTATAAAATGCTAATACATTTTCAAGCAGGAATTGGTGAGAAGGGAGACAATTATTATAAAAAGGGGATATTCTTTGGATGTTATGAAATACTCATACGTGAGAGTATTTTTGATAATGGATAACACTGTTTTTGGATCTTGGAGTGGAAGGGTTGAATTCTTCACATCCTAACTCTTTGCACCCCAACATCAGAATGCATATTCTCCACACTGTTCCCCATATATTTTGTGCTGATAAGGAAGAAGACTTAGTTTAACAATCAAGAGCTTCTTAAGATGTTGGTCATATCTTTGATTCCTTTATACACCTAGTGTGTGATTCAGGAGTGATATTATGAGGTAAAATTAAATGCTTGTCAATCTTTAGGATTAAATATATAATTAATTGTCTTCATTTGTTGCGTTCCCAATCTTGTTGCAAGTTTTATTGCATAAAACTGTCATTTTGAAGGTTATTGCAGTTTCAGAGGCACATGCATTTGATGTAAGGAAATCAAACTGACTGAATGCCTAAGTTCAACTAGCTTTGCAACTTTGATTTTACCTCCATGGATCCATTATTTGTTTGCATTTGCCAATTAACCCAGGGCCTTTAACTCTGAGAGGTGATTAACATGTTCCTTCTTCCCATAACATCCATACATTATCCGGCAAACAGGTGATGAGGATACTCAAACTTATCAGGTGGAAGTTAATATTGCTGATTCGTTAGTAGGCCAAATGTTTTTACGTGATTGCGAGAGTATTAATTAATATCAAAATAATTAATAAGAATCACTTTATTGGCCCAACATACACGAACCCAGTGCCCTCTCGGGTAATTGATCAGAATACAGGGTTGGCGTCTTTATTACCTACGGGCACTTCCTGTTATGTAATAATCCAAAGGCTTGTCCGATAAATCGTTTCTCGGTGCGATCTTCCAATTCCCAGAAATGCGAGGGCAGATGAACAGGCGACAGGAAAATTCATCTGCGATCCTACGCCCTTTCTTGTCTGTTAAGGAAACTTTCGCGTCGAACTTATTTCCTCTGACCCATCATCAGTTACTGCCATTTGGGTTTCCAATGATGCGGTTTTGCATCGAATTAAGTTTTCCACGGTTCACCGAAGTTACGCTGTCATACATGGAATCGTTTCGCCCTGGCGGCGTTGCTTCTTCTCGAGTACTAATTTACCTTAATTAGGTTTTCCTTTCTCCCTGTGGGTTTTTATCGCGCTTGGCTCTTAATTTTTTTTTTACGAGAAACCCCCGCGTGCGCGCCTGTACAGCCAATTGATCCAGCGGAACAGCCGGTTACCCTATCAGGGAGGCTCAATATATGATTGCCGTTTCCCATTTTTTTCTTTATCACGGTTAAAGCAGTGCCAACAGTCGGTCAAAATTCAGATGCTGAAAAAGTTGTGAAAGCAGTAAAATTGGCTTCAAGTCCAGACAACTGAGGTCTGAGTAAGTGATGTCTAACTCTGACTGATCCTTTCAGCCAAACTAATTTTAGACCATTGATATTTTAAGTGATTCCGTAACCTGAAAGGTGTGGTCAGGCCAGCGGAAATCACATCATGAAAATGCAGATTATTAACTTCCGGTCGAAACAACACACAGCCCGTGCGCTTTCACCCACATACGCAAATTTTGAGAGACCGTTCATGAATAACTCAAACATGTTCTTAACTTGAAAGCTGGAAGAATTTCCACAATTTTAATTTTTTTTTGGCAGATGTGGCAGGATTGATCTATTGTGTTGTCGTTTCTTCCTCTCTCTCTGAAGCTTGCATCATAACATAAGCCAAGCGCCATATTTACGTGTTATGTTATGCCGGCCTGTCAGCGAGGAGCCTTATGATTGGCTCTGACGCAGGTGACCGAACTTCGTTACGTCGGTGTATCTCGGACGTTGTATTTTTCGTGCTTGACAAAAAGTACCTGTGTTCCTCTCATTCCTGGATATGGAAAATAACCACCCGAGCAAGCAAGATCCGTTTGCTGAGTACTTGTGGATGGAGAATATGGACGATTTTGATCGCGAAGTGAACGATCAACTCAATGAAGAGGAGTTCATTCGTGCATGTATTGAACAACTGCTTGATGAAGAAGACGAACGCGAAACAATGACAGCGGCCGAAATAATAGCCCAACAGCAATTACAGAGCTTACAGAGCAAAGATTCAGTACAGCAAGGAACATCACAAAGTTCTTATAGAAGTAACTTCCAGGGACGTAACGTTTGCTCGAATGGATACACGAATGGTTACGGCAATCACGACTACAACGTCGTGGTAAGTTTGATTCTCGAATAGCTTCGTTGAGTGATTCATTGTCGTACAATTTCAATACAGAATGCATATCTTAGGTTTGTTGTGTGTGTTTACGGCGGATGAAATGGCAAAATTTCAAATTTTATGTTGTGTGGTGTCGAAATCAACGAAGGTTCAGAGAAAGCGATGGCGAGGGTGTAGGGAAAACCGCCATAGAGGCGCAGTCTCTGTTGAAAATCTATTGCGCGTTTCTTTTACGTTTTTCTTTTTCTTATTATGCAGCAAAGGCAAACCTATTAATGTTTTATGGTGCTAAAATTTCATATTTCCTTATTTTTGGTCTGATTGTACTACGGTATTATCGAATTATAGCAAATGAATGTAGTGTTCGAGATATCCCTGCCCTTTGAAGTATATTTGACTCAATGTACACGTTAAGCAGCGCAATCGTCATACTGAAATCGGTTAACGACGTTTCTGTTTTCAAACGATGGTTCCCTCTCCAAGTTGAGTACTTTGCGAATAAATATGGTGGGAGATTCTCTTCCAAAAATACTCAAGAAGTTGTCTGAAAATGCTAAATTTGTGCAAGGGACTTTAGTGAATTAGTTACCTTCCCCTCTTCGTTATTAAACTCAGTGATTTCTCTATATGGAAACGCTTTTTTATTTAATAAAAAACTGGACTTCTGGAAAATTTGCGATTCTACAAATTCAGCTCACTTCTCAGTGGTGTTTTTCGTGCCACGAGAGATCCACACCGAAATTTGTATTGGGGCGTGAAAGGATTTGAACCAAGGGCAGTTACAGTAGCTCCTTTGTTTCTGTATTAAGTAGCTTTCGGTGAAGATAGTTCGGAGATTTCGTCCGCTCTCTCATTAAATTGTCTTTTTTTCGTTTTTCATTTTTATTTTTCCTCTCCTTGCTTCTCTTAATCTAATGGATTTATCATTAACTTTTATTTGTCGGCTCTTCTTGCGATGTTACTCCAATGCTTGGTAAAACTGGTGAATTTCTTATCTGTGTACAAACATGAAATATTTTTGCCATAAGATGTGTATGAAACAATTTGAGGTTGCCTTGACTGCCTTTAAAATGTATAATTTCGAATAGTTCCAAATGCCAGTAGTTTTATATGAAAGAACAAGGGAATAAAACAATTCCTCAAGTCTGTAAATGCTATATTCCTGGAAGACACCTTCAATAAAGATGTAGGGTCATTCAAAGTTGAAAATGGTAGTAGTGTTTTTAGAAGCTGATGCCTTGAGCACATTGTGAATTTATGTCCTGCTTTAACTGGGGCAAAACAACTCTTAAACAAAGTGCTAACAGGCTGTATAAAAGATACACCATTTCAAGAAGAGAATCATTCACACTTTCAAGCTTTCTTGATTAAAATGTGCAAGGATTTTAAATTTCTATTTCAAATTCTTGATTTGAAATCTTTGGAAATTCCTCAGAATGGGAACATTTCTCTACAAATGTAGTTACGTGTGTGAAGTGCAAAACAAATTTAGCACCAAAACAACCAGGATTAGTCACGCATTCAGAAATATCAGCAATTTTGTGAACCTTGACGTAGTGTGCACTGACCTGTGGTTATGCATCAGTTCACTGTGGGGAATGGATTTTTTCTCTTTTTATGGCGAGAATTCTGGTATTCACATCTATTGTTTTTATGTGTTCTTCATGAGACAAATTTTAAACATTACATTGGTTGAGATCACGTTAAGCCTTTACTTAAAGTACCGCTTGTATAAAGTCAAACTTGTCTGAAGTGGCACCATATCAGGCAGTCACCTTGTAAAACTTGTCTGAAGTGGCACCGTATCAAGCAGTCACCCTGAAAAACTTGTCTGAAGTGGCACCGTATCAAGCAGTCACCCTGAAAAACTTCTCTGAAGTGGCATTGTATCAAGCAGTCACCCTTGATTAACCCTTTAACTCCCAGAAGTTGTTAACATATAACTTCTGCTACGGTATCTAAACATTATCAAGCAAACAGGTCATGAGAATATTTAAACTTATCAGGTGAAAGTTATCTTGATCTAACACCAAATTCTTGTTACTTATTTGCATAGAAATGTATAGCAGCTAGAGGACAATTAACAATCAGATCTTGGGAGTTACAGGGTTAAGTGGTCGGTTGTCAAAGTCCCAGATTTGTTTCATCTTAATTAGTCTGATTTTCACCTTTACTACATGGTTACCTCTATTAAGCAATCTCAGTGGCCTTTTGATTGAGTTCCAGTAGCCTATTTGTATTTGATAGCCCCTCCTTTCTTTTATCATACCTAAAGCAGGTTTACAGTGTTGTGTAGGCAAAGGTTATACAATGAAAGTAAGGGTTATTTTCATGACTCTTGAAACTGTATGATGGATCAATATAGCAGTGTCTTGTTGTTTGAAATATGTTTCCAAGAAGATTGTTTCAACTTGTCTTGTCTTGACCTTGAAGAAAATATGCACACATATTGAGTGCTCAAAGTTTGCCATGCTAAAACATGGCAATTGGTGACCACAAATCTTTTGATGCTTGAGAAGAAAGATACAATGTGGAATTCTACATGATAGTATGGCAGGCAATCATTTACAAAGATTCATGCAATGTCTAAAAACTGAATACTTCCTCAACTTAAGAGAAGAAGTTATATGCATGTTTTCATAGCTGTTGGTGATAGTTAGTAGGGGGCTGAAACTTATGTCTAGTCTGCCACCCTAACCCAATCACCTTCACCTTGTGATGTGTGAATTGATTTTCATGTGCAGAATTTATGTGAGGGTTTGTGTAAACTTATGTCTAGTCTGTCATCCTGAGCCGATCACTTTCACCTCATGTGATGTGTGAATTGATTGTCATGTACAGAATTTATGTGAGGGTTTGTGTTAACTTATGTCTAGTCTGCCATCCTAAGCCGATCACTTTCACTTCATGTGATATGTGAATTGATTTCATCTATAGAATTTGGGTGAAGGTTAGTGTTAACTTTGTGGGACACTAGAGACATTTTTTCTGAACATTTCCCAGTCTTTTATGTAATTTGACAAAAGAATATGTTGTCCATGATAGCCTGGCTACCTTTTATTTCTTACTTGTTTTCTACTCTTACACATTTTTTTTTTTTTATTTCTTAATTATATTACATATTTATGATGGATATAATAGCAGAACTGTTAAGCTTTTAAATTAATAAGACATACAGTGCTTATGTTTTCAATGTGCTTTATATTACGTCACAAATGTAAGTCATATATCTCGCTTGTGGTATGACTGTGAGGTTTTGGTTTTCATGGTGTTGAAAAGATTTGAATTTCAATGTAAAATTCAAATGGTGAAGGTTAGTACAGTTTGTACCATTTGGCATTTGACAATTAGTGTCCTTAACCTCTTACATGCACACTCTAACATTACTATGCATATACTGTGGACAGTTCTCTCTACATTTTTTATGGCATTGGGGAGGAGCAGTTGGTGATCATTTCCTTTATTCTCATGACCTTAATGTTTGATTCAGTAGTGATACAGTAATGCGAAATTCCATGCTCATCATTGTTAAGGGTTATAACTCCCTATCATATACACTGTACCTGAAAATGTAATTTCTGAAGTGTGAGTGACATGGGAATGAATTAGTTAGAAATTGATATTCTAATGGCATGTTGAAGATGTTTGCATGGCATCATGGAAGTTTCAGATTATTTAAGCATTTCGCTGGAAAATTAAGTCATTCTAGGTTGGTCAGTCTTATGTTTGGTCACTCTCTCTCCCTCTCTTTTTTTTTCACATTGATGTAATTTTTGTTTCCAAATCCCTGTGAAATATTATTACATTCATTGATTTTTCTTTGTAATTAGCAGTGTAACCAGGTTAGTTTACCCTTTTCTAAGGGTATTGTACTGCTGCATTAGATGAGGAATACGTTTCCACATATTTTTTGGCCACTTCTTAAGAGTGATTTTTATTGGTTTTTCCATATCTGGCATAGCACAGGTTCTTTTCGTAGAACCCTTAGAAGATTATATTAGGACACATACACTACAAGACTGGCTGACTCGTCCTTTATAAACTTTTCACATTGAATAACTCGTCTGAGTGTAGTCAGAATCAGTTAATGTGCAACATAATCCCTGCACCTTCAAAGGGACTTTATAGATTGCTTAAAATGTAAGGTTCTATTTGGCAAAACAAGAAGCAAATAGCACAGAGTAGAAGCAAGGTTTGACTTGACAATATCACGGCCCTTAAACATTGAAACATGATTGATAATAGTGAAGTTGTTGTTCACACTACTGACAAAGATGTGTAGACTTAAAGTTGTGTCTCATATGTGTGCACGTACTGAATTTTTCAATAACATTTAAGCTGAAATGCATAATTGGGAATATATTTTACATTTCTTTTGATCATGTCACAGATTCTTTTTAAAATGTTAGGAGAAGCTGCATTGTATGTATTTCTGTTCTAATTGAGCACATCCATGCCCTCCTACTGGTGTTATGGATATATTTTTTTCCTATCTTGGATTTCCAAGCTCATATCCTTTCATACCACCCATCCTTTTTTTTTTTTTTTTTTTTTTTTTTTTTCCTCCAACCCTCCACATCCTAACATCAGTATGCATATTCTCCACACTTTTCTCGGCACATTCCCTGTTGTATTAACAAGAAGAATTTGTCAAACAATGAAGGGCTTCTTAACAGAGTAGTTAGCAATCATTTCCTATATTCAAATAACCTTGATGCTTGACTCAGAAGTAATATTGTCAAGAGAAATTAAATGGCAGTTACTCTAAGGGGTAAATTTTCTTTTTAATGTCTTACCCTTGATTTCTTTTAGGCGAAGAGCACGCTGAACCCAAATGCCAAAGTGTTTGTGCCACAGAACACGAGGACATCGTCATCATAGCTGGAAATAAGAGCTGCGCATGCCCGCCTGACGTGACCGGGTTTTGGATGAATAGAAGGATGCCATGTATGATACGATGTACATAAGTTTGCAATTTGAGAAAGAGTTTAAATGGAATCCAGGCGGCTTTGTCCTGTCTAAATTTCTTATGTATTTTAATGATTAAATTAATAAAGCTCTTATTTAATGCAGAAGCTGTTAATCTAGTGATCTTTCTTATCGTAGAATTGACTGATGAAAGTAGCGGTACAAAGCTTTTTTTTCCCGCTGGTTTGAAACGCTCTTGCAGCGGCTAGTCAGATAAAGCGTACAAAAGATAAGGAACTATTAAGTGAATTAATGCGACTGACAAAAAGTGCGGGGAAAATATTAGTCACATTTTAGCTTTTGGTCTTAGTGTTGCATCTGATTGATTGAGAGGGTGATATAAGTTTTTCATGGCAGTACGTGAGGTGGCAGGGCAAATCATTGCAATTCAACATTACTTTGTCACTCAAGTTGAAGTTGGTCTCAATAGTATTACAGATCAATTTCTATTTTTTTTAACCATCATGTAAATTATGCCTGAAATAATGCTAAATGAAAGCTGAAGCCTATAATAATAGTCGTGTTTAGAAAGCAGCACAAGCCCAGGAATTACCTACAAAATTAGCTTCTTTCATTCAGTTTTGTGTTTCTATTTCTCGTGTCGTAGCCTGCCAGCAAGCCGGGAAATCAGGAACTCCACGTATTGTACTCAGTAAGGACTTCCGAAACGCGCTGGAGTCTATTGACTTTTGTCACACTACAAGGTTGCAGCGCATTCAGGTTCGAAAAAATCCTTTTACAAAATAAGATAATGATCATTGTAATTATCATTATCGTTCGTTTCTTGATAAGAAGCGATGGCCAATGAACTCAGTAGTCTTAGTAATACCACAAACACGACCGAGGTTTGACGAAATAAGTTTTCATGAGGAGGTCTGTAGTTCCTAAGATGGCCCCACAACTGTCACGGGAATAACAAACACCTCACGGTAAAACCAAAAGACTCAAAGCAAAATAAAAAAACCCTCGGAAAAACTCACTTTTCCCCCTCACCTTGTTCTCGACGTAACCATGGCAGGGTGAATTTTGATAGTTGAGGAGAGTAAAATTTTCATGTATTAACAATCAATCACACTCCCCTCCCTACAGAGTTCCAACCCTCCCTCTCCCTCCACGATCATTGTACTTATGTTGTAAAAAAATTACAATAACATTGAAGAAAATTTGCATAATCTCTCTGAACATGAAATGATTATTCCGTGAGCCTTTTGGTTTTGCCGAGAGTTTTTTGGTTTTGCCGTGACAGTTGTGGGTCACGGTACTGTTCTTCTACAGCCGCAGATGTTGTTGGAAATAGAACCTGTATAAAATTGTGCTTTAGGAATATTCATTAATATCTGAGTGGATTGGTCACACACAGCCAGGTGCTACAATACCCAATTATGGCTCCTCATAGGCTTAATTCCCTTGCCCCAGTTCAACTTAATTTAAGAATATTTTGACGTCTAAAATTGGTTGGCCATATAGACGATTGATAGTAAAAATCGTGCAATTTTTTTTTTACCTCGCAAGAGTCATGATGATAGTTTTTCAGCCATTTGACGGATTAACATCCTATACCGCAAAAATTTCCCCAGTCCGAGTCATTGGACGGATTCTATCAGTCGGTGAAATAGGTGGTTCTTTTCGGTTCGGCTGTCATGAGTGAAATGTTTGTAAGGAGCCGATAGTTGTTATCTTTTGATAGAGGTCTATTCTAAATGGAAACACCACTGAGCTATCTATAGTCAGTCGACGAGAGCAGTTTGTACTGGACTTTAAACATTATGTAGAGTCCAATAGTCAAAAGTGTAGTTTGTGAGTCGATGATGATCGTTGTGTCATTGTTAGCCATTAATTGTGTTAAGGTTTACCCAGTTTCTCTGATGTAGACAAACGGCTTACGCGCTGAACGATAGGCAGTTGACCTCGTAATCCTCTCTCTTTCTCTTATTTGATGCGTCCATGTCTTTTAAGTTTATTACAATAGCAAATGTCGTAACAGTGGTGTGCGATTGCATTACATCGAGAGAGCGGATGTTACAGTGTTGTATGATCCGTGTAAAAGTGCATTTCGTACGTGCCTTGATCGATAGGTGCGCTACGTATTGTTCGCCTCCAATCATGGTGACAACCAGCTCTGCAACATTTTTGGCTTGTTTGAAACCTTGCCTCTGTGTTGACTGCTCGCTTCATTTATTTTTTTGGCACAACTTTCTCTACTGTTTTAAACACACCCAGGTTCAGGTCAACGCATCAATCCATTCGTGACCTACAGTTGGCCTAAAACGTCTTAATTTCGTGTTCCACTCACTTCCAGGCTGGCTGCGCACGTCACCACGAGTCAATCGCTCCAAAAGCAGCATAATTAGCATAAATAGTTTCTTGATCAAGGAGTTCGTTGTTGGAAGGATCTTTTGTTAGTTTTTATTGGCAAAGTGAGGAGGGAAGCACCAGCTGAATATCGTTTGAGGTAACAGAAGCTGTTGTGTTTCATAAATCATAAACATACCTAGAGTTATATCATAAACAGCTTCATTATGTATTTGTGATACGCACCTTACATAGTGATAGTGAATAGGCTTTAACTCGAGCGCTTTCAATTTCGAAACGAATCATTCCGGCGTTTTCGAAGCTCGATCTTTCGTTCGAAGTCTAAACTTTTGCCTCTTCAAGTACTTATGGAGATCGCCCGCTATGATACGTGATCCAATTAACAAATATCGCGCACTAAGGAAGCGTATAAGTTAATTTGGTTTCGATATCTTACAGTTACGCTCCTGCCGTCAAAAGCATTCACTGGTCATGCTTAGCTGAGCACCTGATGCAAAAATCTACGCAGGATATCGGTAATCAGTGCACGAGTTCTTGGATTTGTTACAAATGGAACGAATTGAAGGAGTAAGTAGTTCATAAACTGATCGAGAACCTTAAGTTTAAAAACAATGCTCGGAAAGGGTCCGTTCCGCATTCGAGCCAAACTGCGAAAGTTGCGACAGATGAAGCGACGATATCTAGGAGAATGTCTTTCGATAGCATACTTTTTATATCGTGCTGTCAAAGATCAACGGAAAAACCTTAAATCGACATCACAAGTTTGGAAGCTGATCGTCTTCTGTAGTTACAATCATCTTATTTGTGCCCTGGATTCGTGTTTCATTTGATTTTTTTTTTGTTTTTTTTTTTCATGTCTACGACATGTCACACAACGAACGTGGTAACTTATGACCATTAGTTCATTGAGTGAAGCTTACGAGACAAAACAAAAAATCAAAACAGAACAACCAATCAATCAAACAGACGAAGCATGCTCAGCGAGAGCCCGCGAAAAATTTCTTCCTTGTCGAAAACGTGAAAAGCCTGTACCTGTACTTTCTTATTAAGTTACGGTTTATTCAAACTCTACGTGTGGTTGTATAAGAAATTTCCATGAAATGAGTGTGGAACCGGAGATTATGGTTGTTTTATTTTCACCGCTATGGTGAAAAATCATGCTGGTATGATGTAAAATCGCAAGGAGGGGGATGGTACTACTTCACTTTTGTCTGAGGGGAGGGGATGGTACTACTTCACTGTTGTCTGAGGGGAGGGGATGGTACTCCTTCGCCGTTGTCTTGGGGAAAGGGATGGTATTACTCCATTGTTGTCTTGGGGTAGGGGTGAGGAGAGAGGAGGGAGACAAGCAGGGTGAAGAGCAACCCGGAAAGTTGCTCTAGCATCTCTAAATGATAGGCGGTTCAGTGATCAATTTATTCGGTGTACAGGTCTGATTTTTTTTCATAGCATCTCTGCATTACATATGTAGTTATCCTTGGTTTGCACTTTATGTCATAAAAATCCAAAATCCAAAATAACAAGGGCTATACAACAGTTTTACCTCCGGAAGACAAAAGACCCCGTAAACATTCACCTTTTGGTAAGGTTATACCCTCGTGAGGTTCTCCATTTTGGAAATAGATGCATCAGGTCTAATTCGTAATTTTTCTTCACTTGACATTGAAATAGCAGCCTGGAAAGCTGATCTGAATGTAAAATGTAAATTTCATCGTGTGAAATTTTGTTCCCTGAGCATTAGAAACATTAAAAAGTCTGTTTAAATAAATTCTGAATAAATGTTCGCAAGTCCACAGTGGTAAGTTGTCTAGACCTGTACAACAATGTCTCGCCACTCGTATCTAGATGGTTCTATTTGGATGTTGTAGGTATTCAGTTCTGAATTTACCACCTCTTGGTGACGTGATGTTGAGGCATGTCACAGCATTGATTATGCTCAACAAGACTGAAAAGAAAAAAACATTAGTTTAGTGTGTCGAAAGTAAACTAAAATTAGGATATGGCAAATGGAGAATGAGGAATGGTGAATGGGAAATGGGGAATGAGATAATGAAATGGGATAATGAAGTGGGATAATGAAATGGGAAATTGAAAATAGGAAATTGAATTTTTTTTAAAATTTTTCCCTTAGTTTTATTGTTAATAGTGAGGAACAAATGTTTTTCATTCATATCCACGTTCTCTTTCTCAAAACATTTACGGGCAAAATTCAAGGAACGAAATAAGTTAACTATAGGGAAAAAAGTGAGCTTGGATGAACAGACAATGTTCAAGGACAAATATACGAGAATATGTTCACGTAAAATAGAGGCTATTGTGTTTCATGTAGTTCAAATATTTTGCAATGCGTGTGAAAAAATGGTTACGAACAGCTTACTGTTTTCTGTGTGCGATGTGATAAACAAATACATTCCTGAAGTGTCAAGTATCACTTCTTTCGTTGCCGGTCATCAATTTATTTATTTCATTCCTCAGATTTTGCCTTTGAACCTTTTTAAAAGAAAGCGTGGATATCTGACAAATATCCATTCTGCATAATAAACATAAAGTCGAAAAAAAATGATTTCCTATCTTCAATTTTTCATTTCATTTTCCTTTTCCCCAATCCTCATTTTTCGTTTTCCGTTCTCCAGTTCTCATTCCCCGTTCCCAATTATTTATTCCTGATTCTCCATTCCTGATTTTCCATTCTCGATTCTCCATTCCAATTCTTAGACTTCGCTAAAAGGGAGGGACAGCTTGTAGTATAATTTTTCATAAATTATCTCGTGTCTTTGAATTTTCCCTTTGTTTGTCCTAGTAGGAGTCCAAGATTAATTTACCTCCTGTCAGCCCCCGCTAAAGCTCCGCATAATTTCATTCATGATCTCGATCTAAATAATTCAAACTTTGACGATAATTCTTGCGGTGCCAATCTCATTGTCCATGATAATCCAGCTTTTTGATATTCAAATATTCAACATGTTAAACAGCTTAAGATGTGTCGAGCGGGTACGCTGTTTTATAACATATTTAGAGGTATCGACGGCGTCATCAAGTTACAAACGGTTATTTTCGTTAAATCAACAAATTTCAGCAGCTAATGTACGGTTGATTTTTACAGGAAAAGAAGATACAGATTTTCTCTCTCGCGTGTTGAAAACTGCAGGTGAGTTGAATGTCTAACTCATATGTTTTAATGCGGACCAAGGCTCCGTCTTTTGGTTTTAATTTACAACTAACAGCTTTTTTGGCTTTTTATTTCTTGACGTAACATATCCTCCTGTAAACTAAACCATTTTATCAGACATGGGTAATTCGTATTGGGTGAGAGGTAATTTTATGTCAATATTTTGGTGGTATGTTTACATTTGAGTGTTCGAAATTCACTGGCTTGTTACTAAGGTCTCGCTTATCCGTCCGTCTGAAATGTGCACCGTCGGACAACAACGTAGTCGGTCTATAATATTCGCTGAGGTGTAACACAGGGATTCCGGCTGATTTCAAGTTTCGTTTTGCAGCCGCTTAAAAGAAGAAAATTATCTAATGTAACCGAAACCAGACCAAAGTACAATGACGATTACAAATGAGTTCCTCACGTTCGCTTCACCAACGAGTTTTATTCGTTTTTTACGTATCGACGCATCATAGGACTTGATAAAAGTTTTATTTTGACAGATGGAAGTTTATCGTCCACGTCTTTGTGCGAAGTTACTTATAAAATATATACTGACTTCACTCGCATTAAATCCAAAACAATTTTAAGTCACAAAATTGTTGTGTTAATGATGACAAATACAGTGGACACCATAACTTCAACTTAAAATATTTGTGTTATTCATATGATTTAGAATAATTTTTGAAATTAATCATATACAGAAACCGATAGATTTAGTAAATATGCGCAACCTAATTGTTTTGTACCTCAGAAGACGCGTGATTAACTAACACCAAACAAACTAGCATTTGCTTGAACTTTTCTGAAAATGTCTCGCCTGAAATAGCCAAAAGTGTTGACACAATTCAGTAGGAATATATAGTTTTTGGTCGAAGGCGATATGACAATTGGTTTAACGTGATTTAACGATTTCCATGATGCACTGTTTTCCGAAGTCATCTTTTAAACAATTGTTGGATTAGGTTTTTGTGATATCCAAAATAATTAAGGTTGAGGTAGGGCCAAAGGCTTCAGCTGACAACCCCTACCTTCATCGACCTTGGTTATTCTGACTATCACTAAAACCGAATCTAATAATTGTTGTATTATACATTGAAAGAAAAAAAGAATGGTCACGACAATAAGTTGAACTGATCATTTATTACTAAACGAATAACAATATGCAAATCATAAAGCAACACAAGGCGCGCGAACTTGACATGATTACCCTTAAAAATCATGCACCGCAGTCATACATGACATGATTGCCTGTGACATTGAGTGTCCTTGACGCCTGCTCATCCTTTTATCGCTTTCCTTAGTAGTCAGTAAATAAAATCTTCTTGCCACAACGTTTTCGGTAATGATATATAGCATATGAATCTTGCATATTTGTCGATTCTAATGATTAAGAAATTGAGTTGAGACTTTACAACTTACAAATTCTGTAAATTAAGCCCATCCTTTCACCGACAAAAACTTTAATCGGTCTTATAAGCAGGCGCTTTTATTTCGGTATGAGATTATTTTCGGCCTTTTTTTTATTTCGGTTTCAGACCATTTCCGACCTGGGTGACGCGCTGTCCCAATTTCGGTTTATTTAATCTTGTGAAAGTATGGCACATCTCGCTTCAGCTGCCTTCCTTATTCCCTAAATAAGTAAGTCAACTTTCGTTGTTCTAAGGTTCTAATTTTTCTAAATTTGCTGTGAAAAACCGCTAATAATATTGATCAAGCTGTACGATGAACTGTGAGATTTATTCGAGGTTCGAAAGACAATCACAGTTTCTATTAGTTCAAGTGTGTAATCCGCAGGCTTCTCATCATGGTATGAAACGTTTGATTTTCTTTCAGATATTTTTCATAAGAATTTTGCGACCTGCAATGTGTCAATGTCAATAGTTTTGAGGATTGTTTCAAAAGTGACATATACTTATGAATGAAAAGCTTTCAAAATTAGGCTTGTTCACCACAGGGAATGAGCTTAATGGCTCGCACTCTATCGATACTGTTTCTTCAGAAACTTACCCCTTTGGTAGTTTGCTGTTTAAGAAAGCTTTTGAGAGCTGTAAGGAAACTCTTCGGGTAGGTTTCTTGTGTTTTTTTTTTCGCTGTTTTTTTTATTTACAGATTCTGAATCAAATCTGAAGCTGTTCTCTTGATTCCTGAGCACTACTTAGCAACTTGCCTTGTTCAGATGTTTATCCCTAGCGTTAGGACAAAACTTCTGTTTGCTGGAGAGATGATTTCCGAGGAACATCTGGTGTTGCGGCATAAACTTTTTAACTAAGTTGAGTAATCCAATGAGGGAAAAACACGTGCTTCCTTTGTGTTGAAAGTTTAGCTTTAGCCCTCTGGAGACTTGTCACGTTTGTCGGGCCTTGAAGTTTGACGATTGCGTGATATACCAATTGTAATTAGGATGATTTGCAAAAACGACTTGGAATTTTCGCACATCGAAGCATTTATCCGAAGAAACAACCTTCAAGATTTTGCTTTTTAATTTTTTATATTTAACTTTGCTTTTTCTTTTTTTTTTTTTTACCAAGTACGTGAACCAAAGATGAAACTTGATGACTCTCCAAACAGTTATCTGTCTCTTTGTTTAGCTTGACATTGTACTAAGAGCAAAAATTTATTTTTTTGCTCATTTTTTTAAAAAAAGATAACCGTTTTTCACTGATTTCATAAGCTGCAGGTGCGAATCACACACATAACTATCTAAAGATGTGAATAATGAAATATATCAAGAAGTAAAAGGCCTCCTTTCAGGTCTGGCCTTAGAAAAATTGCTCGTTTTATGAAAGCTTTTATGCTTTTAAAATTCTGTAACATTTACCCCTTTTAAAGGTTTTTCGATATGCATTTTCTAGTTGAAAATTAATCCTTGCGTAGTTCCTTGCCCCAACAGTCTCCAAGGAGTTAACGTAACTGTCAGTCTTACGATTACGTATTGTATTTTTACTTTGTTATTTTTCCTGGCAAAAAAAGAAAAAACTTTGAAAACAAAAAACAAAAAGCAAGTTAATGACTTAACATTCGCATTCAGTCAGAAGACAAAATTCTACGACAGAGTAGAACTGAAATGAAACGAGATTGAAATCTTGATTTAAATAACTAATTCAGTAGCTAATGTAACAGCTGTCATTAATACGTCGTTTGGATTTCAGTGGCAAACACAGATTTATTTGCACATTCAACCTCATTTTATTGTGGTTTTTTTCACTTTTCAGACGCTTAACACAGGAGATGGTGCTTTTGAGCTAACCCTTGATCCGAAAACGTTTAAGGAGAGTAGCAGTGCTCTGTCTGACGGTTTGATAGCCATCAGCGAGGGTTTTTGAGTGAACAAGTTCATACCCGTTACCAGTCATCTCAAACTCAAGGGAATTGCTGCAGTCAAATCGAAAACAAGGTAAACTTAAGCACTACACAGCTCTTTGGTTTGCTCTACTTGTTGCAAAGACAGAAAAGTTCTGCCTGGTTTACAACTCTAATTGAGATGGCGATTTTTCGATTCGTTAACTCTCCTCTCTAATGTTCCTTAGACAACGGTAATATTTGAATCTTTTTTTAACACTCACTGAGGTAAAAAACTGAGAAGTATGTGACACATTCGCATGCGAAACTCCAAACCTCACCCCATTTTGCGATACGAACATGTTTGAGCTATCATTTTGCTGAAATTATGTGAAAATCGCCATATGTTTTTTTTTATTTTTGATTGATCAGCGCGATTCGTGATGGTTAACCGACGTAGCTTCTGCTATATCAATTTCTTGCAACGTTACATTGCACATGCAGCTCCCTTGATCTGCCGTTTAGCTGCCACCCAAAGTCGATTCAATTTAAACTGAAGCCATGGAAACATTTAGTGGGAAGAGTTAACCACATCCTTATCTCACGGCGCTGTCTGTGAATACTTTTTAAGCTGATTGATATCTCAATTCAATGTTGGTTCGACCCAAAATATTGATTAATTGTTATGAAACGTTTTGATCCAAGAATTACAAAGTTTTCATCACAAACTCTTTATTTATTCCTTTCAAACCAAACAACCCTCTAAACGTAAGATACCAACAAAGACTCAAATGATGTCAAATCGTAATGAGATAAACGCTCTTTATTGTCGAGACGTTAAATGATTAGTTCTGAAGGGAGATTCAACTAGCTTGTACCGTGCGGCTTCTCCGAGAAGAAAATGAACAATACACAGTTCGCCTTTGTCGGTTGATGTGTTATTTGAGGGGCCGCCAGAACGGACATTACGGGAAATATAAACATTTGTATATATTCTATGCGAGAAACAATCACCGAAAGATGTACGTCTAATGCCGATGGTCGCTCGTTGACGAGCTGAACTAGAATTAAATGCAGTGATTTTTTTACCCATTTTCGTTTAGTTTTTGTTCAGTAGATTGGGTGGTTATTGAGGTCAATTATGAGGGATTTGTCTGGGGAGGTACTGCCTTTAAACTCGGTTTCCTCCTGAGCGGTTATTAATCCTTTTTTTTTTTCAACTCGAACCTACGTACTCTCTCCTATACACTAATCAAGCTGAAGAAAATCCTAAAAGAGCTTCTTATCATAAAATTGTTGATTTTTTGGCTTGACCTTGCTAAAAGAACTCTCAAGAGATAATAGAATACTTCTTTGATGAAAACTGCACTTGTCGAAAGAAACAAAAAAATTACCACAAATTGGCTGCGCTTCAGCAAGTCGAACTTAATATTTTTTAAACAAAAGAAGAACACCAAAGCAATTCCTCTTAGTGAAAAGAACCGCGAAATTATTGTTTAAACTAGTTGGTAGGAATCTTGCTGAGTACGTAGTCTAAATATATAACAAACTTCCGAGGGAAAGGACAAATTGTCTCACGGACCAATCGTTTGAAAGGCGTCGTTAGAAATGATCCAAACAGGTGTTCTGTTGAACTGAATTTTAATTGTTTCAATACAGCGGTATATCAGGCTCAAATTTTCTACGAATCTTCTGCTGTCTTCGGCACGAAACGAAGACCAGTTCGATAAACACCAGAAATTCTGAGGTTACTGAATATGCTGATCATGAGAATTTTCTTGGAAATACGTCAAACTGAAACCAGAAAATTTGAAGCGCTCCTTTAGCGGTGGGTAAAAGCGAATGTTTGAGGTTGACTAAACAGAACTCGATCATGCGGTCACGTTTTTAGTCGTTTTTGTGCATGCAAGCAGGTGAAGTAACTATATTTTACATTTAAGACATTTGCTATATATACATTTCTAAACCAGGCTGACCGAGAATTGCCCACCTCACAGGAATTATCTCAATTTTTCGTTACATTTCTTGCAAAGAATTAAAATTTTCGCTTCAGGCATATGCATATTCTGTTAGTATCTATGAAAATTTTGTTCGGTATTCTTTAATTCTGTCACGGAGAAATTTAGCTCGCTGTTAATACGTGAAAAAATTGTGTTTGAATGCATTATATTTAAATCAGAAAACAATATTTCTTTGAAATGGAAGAACAACCACCAAGGGCGGCCTATTGTGATCCTTGTAAAGAATTAAACCAAGATTTGGAGATCGGAAAGGATGGCTTTTGAATTCATCTCGCAACAAAAAATTTCCAGTTGTCTCTGGAAAAAAATTATTCAACAACCAAAAAAAATTCAGTGTAAAAAAAAGGAAAAGGAACCCAGTTGTGTTCCATTTGTGTAACGAAGCCGGCCGTAATTATTACATGACACGGGTAAGACAAAATTGTAAAATTCTGCCTACTAATTCGTATTAATTATGGATCAAGGTCCGAGTGGATTAATTCTAGTAGAGTTTATCGGTTTCGTAACGCTTGTAACCACAAGAAAAAGATTTCGCTACAATTCGCTTTCAACATTTATTGTTTCAAAGAAGATTACATCGAATGTGGCGCTTTTGAATTTATTAAATATTTAAGTCAGACGGTGTTATATAGCGACTGAATCTCCAAACAGGTAGAATGTTATTGTGAATCCGATGGCCAGAATTAATTACTCTTTACTTGTTTGGAACGAGGTTAATCATTTGAGAGATGGATTTTGAATTCTTTTTTTTTTATTTCGAGAGTAATGTAGAACCTTCCAAATTTTGTGAACACAAAACGACACAGAATATTACGGTTTAAAATAAATTTGAACTTTTACTCACACTTCACTGCGATTACTGTCAAGCGGATCACTGACATTGTTAGTTTTGTTTTTCGTTGTTTGTTTTTCTCAGTTTGCTTGCCGTCTTCTGGATTTTTCAGAAATAATTTATTAGTGCAAATGAGAAAAGACAAGCGTAGGGCTAGAAAAATTCTATCCGTTTAAATATTTTTTTCTATAATATCAAGTTTACCAGGGTTTATTTGACAAAAGAGAAGTAAATTGGCCGCAGTACCAGCGCGTCGTTATGTGTAAGTAGTGTCCAAGCCACACTGTGCTTTGGAAGGAATGCTTTCATGCTATTTTCCCTTATCTCGTGGTACAACCAATTAAAATAAAACCGATAATTCACATGTAGGGGCCCGATATATCGCCGTGAAAAGGTTTCTTCTGGAAGAGTGGCACCTCGAACGAGGTTTTGTATATTTTACTTAACTTTGATCCAAAACTCTGCGTAAGAGTGCGAGTGAATAACTTTGGTATAAGAGACGAATAATATATAAGAGTGTTAACAGCCAAATTAAATTTGATTTTGTAGAAAGGAAAAGGAACAGGAATGTTTTACTAAAAGGATTCATCATTGGTGTTAATCACGATACCACTCAAGTGCTTCTTCTCGTTTTAACAGTTAAATCCCACACACCAAAATAATATCGTTATCTCTCGTACGCAGTCGGAATTTCAAAATGTACGTTTTGCAGACCTTTTCTTTTTCAACACTCGCTTTGTTACGTCTTTTGTAATATATTTAGAAGCCTTTAATTTGCATTAGCTCGGTTAATGTTAAAGGGAATGTTTTTTGTAAAGGATAAATTTTGTCTGATAAATTAACGTTTTTATATATCGGTGGCTCCGACTTCAACAAAGTCTCAAGTCTTTAACTTAAATTTAGTTCTTAAGGAGAGGAATAATACTCCAAGAAACAGTAATTTCTTTTTAAAACTCCAATTGTCGTTGCTTGATTTAAATGATATTCAGGCTAAGATGGATCCAAGTGCCTAATTTTTGACAATACTAGTACATTATTAGAGAGGGTGAAAGAGGATTTTGCGTGATGCAGGATTTAGTGGTTTTGATTTTCGTTATGTGTTATTTGTACTTTTTGATATGGGTGAAACTTGTGCCACACACTGCCCTCCCTACCCCCCTCAAAGTAGGAGAACAATTGAGACTTATCTCGTCTCGAATTTTCATATCACCTTCTTGTTCTTGAATATATAATGTGAGTGAATATTATGGCAACGCAAGAGATATGCGTTGAACCATTTAACGACTTTTTCATAAAGTACAGCCAAAATAAACAGTGTGAGAGCATGCGATTTTAACAAAGCCATCGGTGGTTCTTAAGTGCTGTATACGTAATACTTGCTCTGTAGGAAAGAATTTTAATAAGCATCCTTTTGCTTTCACTTCTTTTCAAAAGGAAGAACTGCACATTTGATGAAAGCCAATGTTGACAAGCTTCTGAAGTTTTCCACTCATTAAACAAAGTTTTCATTTGGTACTTAATTGTGATAGATTAAAAAAGAAGAATGGTGCGCCATCTTATTTTTAGCTTTAAATGAATTTCTGGTTTCGTTTCAATGGCAGTGGTTATCCATTGATGAATGGGATTAACAGATTAAATCAGCTTTCCTATGTTTTCTTTAATTAGCGCTCTTGTTCTTGTTTTTCATGTTTTGTCTTTCTGCCGATCGTTTCGAATTGGCTTTCGACGTGCTAACCGCTGTGGTGATAAGTGATAGTAATAACAGTGCAATTCAAAAAGCTCTGTTTCCAACCCTTGCGGTTTTGTTATCAAAGAGCGGCTTTTTCAGAAAGCCTGGCTGTCTAATTGAAGCATTGCTGCTTTGTTTTCGAAGACTTGTTATAGTCCATCGCAAAGTATCGAATGCAGCAAGGGTTTTGACCGGATAATTTGTTAGCTTACACTGAAAATAGCTGATTCCAGTGATGGGTTGAAATTACGGTCATGCGACTTGGGAAACTAAAAAATTTACTCGTCTATTTGTCGGCCATTCAATTAACTAAGGAGATAAATAATGATGAACAACTGCTTGAATTTTTAATCTCATAGGATAGCTTGAATCTGTTATGGGATTGCCTAAGATTCAGGCGATTTTTCAAGTTATTTTTTAGTTCAACGTGTAGAAATATGAAATGAAATTTAATTTTCTACACGTTATGGCTTAATGCGTGACGTTTAGTGTATTTCGTTTTGCAGACGTTCGAGTTCGAGGCAGACTGTTGAAACTTTCGCTCCTTGTCTGGATGTGTTGTACAGCGAGTACTTTCCGCCGTTATGAGTCGTTTAAAGTTGCGTTGGGCCCTCGTTCGTGTCGCACTTATCATGTGCATTATATTAGCTGTGCAGTTTTTCAGCCAGCTAGGATTGCTGAATGCGCGTCCCCCGAACTGCGAGCAAATGAAAGTTTTCAAAGAAAGGCTAAGTGTACAAGCAAATCCTGGCAATGAGCAGGTTATAGCCATACAGAAGGACGATCCAATCATTGAAAAACCTGTCACTAAACAAGATTTTAAAAACGATATTAAGAATGAACAAAGTAACATGGATATAGAGAAACTTATTAGTGATTTAAAGCGTATAGCGGTGGAACTTTCAGAAACACATCGCGGATTAGCGAATTCTGCGGTGCATTATCATCGAGTCGGGAAGAGCCTTCAATCTTTAAACAGCGTCATTCAATCTTTGGGTGGACAAGCCGTGGACGATAAAGAACATTCTCTTGGAGATAAAAAGGCTGACGCACCAAAGAAGGAAGTTTGCCCCGAGAAGTTCCTAGGCAGAAATCTAGCTTATGGATACCCTTATTTTAGAAAAGGTTTCGGTAGAATAAACTGTACAGAATTTGTTCCTATGAATAGACTTGTGACAATTCTTGTTACGTTACCAGAGGAGCTACCGGCTAAAGATAAATATAAAGTTTTTGAAGGCATCGCAAAACACTATTCAGACGTACAGGTTGTCTATGCATCACAAGGTCAACTCTCCAAGGACACCATGACAAAGCTGAAATTGAATTTAAAGCATCACGTCTCTACCAATTTGAACCATGGGGAGACATGGTCTAAGTTACTAGACGAGGTGAGCACGCCCTATGTCCTTTTTGCCCCGGAGATAACACACTTTACGGATGACATCGATCTTGAGCGGCTTATCAGAGTACTTAGTGATAACAAGGAGGCGATTATCGCCGGGGGGAGCCATCGTAACCTTAAGGGAGAATGGGACATCGGCTGTCTTCAACTGACGTTCAGAAATTGGACAGCTTACTTTAGGGGTGGATATTACCACTCGTTCACGGAGTGCGTGGTGTGTGATGTACTCTCTGGTCCGTTCGTAGCGAAAACCGAGCAACTCAAGCAAGTTTCATTCGATGGCAAGTGAGTAAGAGCTGATTACTCTTTTTTTTTTTCTAAATATATCAAAGGAAAAATTTGGTTAAGTTAGGTGGTGGAACTTAGAAAATGTCGGTATTTTTTGACAAAGGCCTGATTAATCTGTTATTCGCGCGTGAGAAATTATATTATACTTCTCCGTATTTTTTAACAATAACGCATGAATGACGATGAGGAAAGAAAATTATCAGTGCAAAATCAAGAACTTCACTTAAGTTTGGGAACAAAAGAAAAAAAAGAAATGAAATTCGAGACAGTTTGCCCAAGGAAGTAAAGACAGACATTAGTGATTTAAGTGGGAAAAAAACTTTAAACTTTGAAATTATTTGGACAAAAGTAGTTTTTGCAACTTGAGGTGTGAAAAGAGCTAAAGCAGGTGGTGTACTTTATAATAAAATTTAAACGACGGGTATTTTTTTTACTAGCGGTAAAAGGTTTACGCTTTGGTTATTAGCGCTCTCCCACCACTTAAAAGCCCTCTTATCGCTGTCTCAGGCTCTTGTGTTTGGTCTTACGGCGCTTTTTTAGGGTCAGCCGCACATTACACGTTTGGCAGCCGTTCATAGAAAAAGTGATTGAAACCTCTGCTGAAAAGCTTGCGCGGAGAAGTTGAAAGAAGACTTTTTTCCCAGTGCGGGGTCTCATTTCGGGACACTCTTAACATTTCTTACCTTGCTCAATTTTAATTGTCTCTTTATTTCCAATGCATTCTTCTTGATATAGTTGAAAATTCATAGATACGCCACCCATGAGAATTTAGACGACTTTTTTAGGATCGCTAACTTTTGACACTCATCTGTGCTTTATCTTCTAGGCTACCTTTCGGCGTCTTCCAGGATTTATTCTGGCGTTTGAAGATGAAACACCCTGGTAAAATCGTGATTAGTTGCCCCGATGTCATGTTTAACGTCTACGATCGGGACATCACAGACGATAAATACGCCGCCCTGGCTAAGAAGTGGGAAGTGAAAAAATGGGTGGATTCAAGTGGTAAAGTCCGCTGGTATGGTTGCAGGCGCGGGCATTCTTATACGGGCACATCCTCGTGTAGTTTTCACAGGGGGCTTGGTGTTCCACCGTGTGATCTGGAAAACCTTGCTGATGCTATCAAGTTTGTAATGAAAGAGTGTGAAGACGCTGGCTTGTTTTGCGAACTTCAAGAAGGAACGCTACTAGGTAAACGACTTTTTACATAAGACAGTTTTTTTCCATAAACTCAGTATAGCTGGTGCTGTTATTTATTTCAGTCCTTTTTGGCTTAACAAAGGTTTAATTCTTAGTAGAATTGGCTCAGCTGAGCTGAGTTATGTCTAAATTAGACTTATTGCAGATACAGTGTAGTTAATCAAAGAAGTTGCAGATTGTCTCTCGTTTCATAAAAATTTAGGTCCTTGTTGATTCTAACTAGAAGACAGAAGAATTCTCCAATTAATTATTTTCATGATTGAAATGATCACACCCCATGCTATTCTGCGGCTCGGGATTATCATGATATCCGACCAGGATGCATAGCGCTTCAACCCAATTCAAACTCCTTCTGTACCACTGCATATGTTGATTCCGTCCTCGCTTGCTACTTCATCATGTTGTTTCCTGGCCTGACAATTGTACTTTAGATTCCTTGTTCGCGTTCCAAAACACAAACTATCATCAAACAGAAACTATGAGGACATACGTGAGGTAAACTAGTCTCTCGAAGCTTTGAAACATACTGGCCCAAACAATCCTCTGAAACCTGCAAACCGAAGAATAGTTACCAATAGAGCAATTTTCAATTGGTCTCCAAAAAAAAATCCGAGATCGCTTTGGTTTTGCTCTTCTTTGTTCTGTGATTGGCTAAAAAACTCGCTCCTCTCTCTCAAACAATCAGATCCAAAACTAAATTCAACAACTACGTGGTACTTTGAGATCTCATTGGCTATTGAAAATATTTTCCATTCTTTTAATTGGCTGTTGTGATTACTTTGGTTTCGGTTCTAGGACTCTCGATTGAAAAGCACCTTAACTAAAGTATGGTATGAATATCATCACGACTGAACCAAAGTTATAATAGAGTAAAAGGGATATATTTTGCAAGAATATAATCACCTTGAGTTAAAGTACTCTTAACTCTCATTTTTCTTATCTCCTGTATAGGTGCAGTCAAATTCAACAAAGTTTTACCATGGGAACGCGACGCTGATATAACTTTCCTTACTGGGAACTACTCGGCGTTTAAGAAGCTCCGTTCAAAGTTTCAAGCAGCTGGCTACAGTCTTAGTGACGATGACGGCTCCTTGTGGTGCTGCGCAGACGGTCGGCAAGCTGGGGGCAAGTTTAGAATAGGCACAACCCGCTGGACTCTAGAACTGTATGGTCAACACATTATGGAATCTGAGACTCTTGTAGCAAACGGTCAGCGGCCGACAAAAGTACAATTTTCTGGACAATGGGTGACTGTAATGCGCAATCCGGGACTTTTTGCCCGTAATCGTTACGGACCCGGTATATACCGTCACCAGGAACACTGGATGGATATTGGACACGGAACTGGATGGGCTTTTTACAATCCCGGCTCCTTTTCAACGTGTGCGCAACCGGGTCATTCCGGTTGTCTAGACAAGTTTTCTTCCGATGGTAACTTACAGTTTAGTGATTACCCGTTCGTTTGATTTTCGGACACGAGTGGCAAATTTACCATCTTTATAATGAATGCTTCTTTTAAAAATGTGTCGTGGAGGAGAAGAAACTCAATAAAATCATTCATAACCCCGGAGGATACAGATTCGTGAGCTGATAATGCGCCGACCAATTCTAAACTCCAAAATCCCTCCCCTCAGCCGGGCATTTGACCGTCGTCCGTGCCCGGAGGGTGGGGAATCAGAACCTTGCCCTCCCCGTAAAGGCTATGCCTAATTTTATGACTAGATTTTAGTTTCTTTTTATGAATATGATTAATCTTTATCATCTGAAACTATTTAGGTAGCTTTTGTCTAAATTGGATCTTACTTAAACTAACATTTTATCTGCCTAGTGTGGTGTGCGATTTGCACAGGTATATTTTTCATTACACTTGCCAAACTCTAGTGAAAAGGAGGAAAAAAGTAAAGACACCGTGAAGATCTATAAATCTAAATGAAGAAGTATTTTGAAAGAGATTACCAAACTTTAGTGGTCTGTTCAAGAAACATTTATCTCGAAGTGAAGTATATTTTTAAGAGAACAATTAACTGTGTTCCTAATGTTACAAAACACTTTGTTCCTAATGTTACAAAACACTCAGAAACACCTGTTGTTATTAATAAAGGGAAAAATAACCGTGCTGGCTTTTGTTTTTTTCTTACGAGGATAAGTGTTATTACACTTTAGTAAAGACTGGGGCACAATTAATGAATTTCTAGCCGTCTGACTGGCTGAACGAAGCCATTTTATGAACTGTAGCCCAGCTCCGAGCCTATAACCAAGCCGGAGATTATAAACCTAGCTCCAACAATATGGTGAATGAATTTGTCAGCGAAGAGGGGAAAAAATTGCTTTGAGCATGTTATAATGACATTTGACACCAACGAAAGGTCATTGTTTCACTGACCTTTCAAACCAAATAAAACTTCATCGGTAGAATTATTTTAGGGCACCTTTTTTATTAAAAATAATTATTCTAACTCGGCACTAGGCACCTTGTTGACCTTGTTAGCTATTTGTCATCTCGTATTAGGCGCGCCCTGTAGAATAAATGTGACAACCGACATCTTTAGGGAGCTAATATACAGTGCGATTGTCCACTAGCTTTCGCCTGATATACGATCTCCGTCCTTCGATCGTTACGTAAGTATCTTAGTCATTTTAGGGTTCTCCTTTATTTGATTGTTGCGTAAGTATCTGGTGCTCTTTTGGGGTTCTCTTTCATGCAATTGTTACACTAGTATCTCGCGCACTCGTTTAGAATTCTCTTTCATTCGATTATTATGTATGCAATTCCTGCACTGTTAGGATTCTCTTTCATCGGATTGTTTTTTTAGTATCTCACACATATTCAGGACTCTCTTTTGTTGGTTGTTACGATAATGTATGGCGCACTTTTAGGATTCACATTCAGGACTCTTTCTTTGGTTGCTACGTTATTATCTCACGTACTTTTAAGATTCTCTTTCATTCGAGTGTCAATTAAGTATCTCGAGCATTTTTAGGTTTCTCTTCCATCGGATTGTGACGTTGGTATCTCGCGCACCTTATAGGACCAGATACTTCATTCACGCGCATTTTTGAGATTGTCTTACATTCGATTGTCACGTCTGTATCTTGTGCAATTTTAGGAATTAGGATTCTCTATCATCGGATTGTTACTTTAGTTTCTGGTGTACTTTTAGGAATTTTGTTCCTTGGAGTGTTTCGTTAGTGTCTCACGCGCATCCAGGCCTCAAGACTCCCTT